GGCGGGGCTTTTACTCACCACAACTGCAGAGGCTTCCAGCTTCATTTGAAACAGACTACATTATAGACGGTCCGTTATTTATTAATCCCTGTGTTTTTATAGTCTTACTTTTTATCCGCTCCCGTTGGCTTCATAAAGTCAACACATTGCACCGTCATTTCAAACTCAACACTTCCTGAATTTGTTTCAAATTAAAAGCCCCTTATAAACTCGGCTGAGAGAATCCCTCCATTTTCTAAATAGGCTTTTATTGTGAAACATTTGTAGGAACTTGGTTGTGGAGGATGCAGTAGCTTAAGTTCAAGTTCAAGATATCTTTATTGTCCCCAAGGGGCAATTTGTGGTGCAGCCAGCAGCAGAGCAATAGAAATAACAATGACAATTACAGTTCAAATAAGCAATCCACAAAATACAATAGAGAATAACAATAAATAGTAAAAAAACAACAACAAAAAAAAACACATGAATGTTTAAAAGCTTGAATGTTTGCGTATGGTTCTTCAAATGTAGCTCCTGCCATCTGCCATCTCTTTTAGGTGACTACAACAACATTTCGGTTGGCATGTGAACAGACACAGTGACTCAAATAATAGTAATAGTGATAAAAATAGGACAAGAATAACCCGATGACATCACACATGTCATGAAAGACGACCGGGGATAATTGGTGAGTACCAGCATGTAGTGTGTCATGTCTGTCGGTCAGTCACGGCACGATTTTATGACTCCACAATTGTGTAATGTGACACAGTGACTTTCAGAACGGGCAGAAAAGTCATGTAGTGTGTACCAGGCATAATACAAGTCCTGAGTCTGACCTGTCTGTCAGCGAGTCCTCTTCCACCTACTGAGTTGTGGGTATTTTACTGAAGGATCCTGCGGAATGTTTTAGACTCCACCATAGACAATGGCAGCATTTCTCCGACCACGTAGCGAGCCACAAGCTCCGTGGCTTCTTTCAGACTGATAGGTTTAACGTTATCTCCGTTATTAGAACCAAACGACAGCCGTTGCTGTTTCGGAGCTGAAGGACCAGCATTCTAAAAGTAACGGAAGTAACTAATGTCTTGTTTGAAAATGTACTCAAGTATTTGATTACTCAAACTGCAAACTAACGCGTTAGGTTACTCGTTACTGCAAAAAGTAATCAAAGTACTCGAACGCGTTATACCCAACTCTGGGCAGCACATGGAGCACATGGAGCACTAACTACATCATGGCCTACAAGAGTTGGCCATCCAACATGACAAAGCATGTCGAGGTCCGTAAAACGTTTGCTTAATTCCAGATGAATATTTTAAACAAATTTGTCTGTGCTTGTAGTTGTTCCAGTTTTTGTGCTACAGTAGGTCAGGTAAAATGACTGTTTGTAGATTTGCCTTGGAAGTTGTTGTACACTGTGTGTGTGTGTGTGTGTGTGTGTGTAGGTGTGTGTGTGTGTGTGTACAACAATGTGCTGTGTTAAAAAAAAATAAAGGTACTTTGAATTTTCTTTTTTCTTTTTTTTTTTTTTTGCAGAACCAAGAGTATCTATACTTCCATTCAAGTAATAGAGTTGTGTACTATGTCCACTACAGGTTATAGGGTCTTAATTACAGGGCTGCAACTATAGGTTAAATATTGACTGGCCATTTTTCAGCCCAGTTACCAAAAGAAAATGTTGGCATTCTACATTTCTGCAAATCAGGAACATGTTTTGCACGTTTCATACATATCATATCATTGTTTCTAAACAGACATGGTACATGAGCTGACTTTTTCATTGGAAGAAGATAAAGAAGAAGAAGAAGAAGAAGAAGAAGACGACATACTTTATTAATCCCCAAGAGGAAATTTAAATTTTTCACTCTGTCATATACACACAGGCCCCAAATACACACACATGCACAGACAGGACCTATATATGCATTAAATGGAGAGATGTCAGAGTGAGGGGGCTGCCCACTGACAGGCACCCCAAGCAGTTGGGGATTCGGTGCCTTCCTCAAGAGTACCTCAGCAGTGCCCAGGAGGCGAACTGGCACCTCTCCAGCTACCAGTCCACACTTCATATATGGTCCAGATGGGGGCTTGGACCGATGACCCTCCTGTTTGCAACCCAACGCATCCCTATAGACTGAGCTACTGCCGCCCAAAAAAAAAAACAAGAGGAGAGGGCGAACACAGTCCCCCACTACCAGAAATTATGCAGTCGAGATTCCTACATTTGGGGAATTGACAGAAGTCAGCTCAATCAGAGTGCAATGACTGAGCCTAGCCACCCACCCTCTTGATCATGGTATCTTCCCTGCCAGATAAGGTGGAGGGGATGGTGGACCGCATGTAACCTAGGCAAAATGGCTGCCAAGCAGCAGACTGCTGCAGACCACTATTCTAGGACAATAAAATTAGTTTTAGCAAGTCTTACCTGCATTCAAGTTTATGCTAAGTAATAACCTACGAATTTCACATAGGTCTATGCATGGTAAAAGATACAACACCAACGTTTTTTTGGCAATTGGATTGCAATTTTGTTTTGTTTTGTTTTGTTTTGTTTTGTTTTGTTTTGTTTTTTTGACGGCAAATCACATAATTAGGTGCATATGGAGTTAAGTTTATTTTCAGGTCTAAATAATACAGTCACAATTTTCCAAGGTCTGAAGTAAGGAATAATTGTAAAATGCCAATCAGTATTTCACTTGTTTGCAACATCCTTCCTCTGGCACAAATGTGCTAGTTCATAATTTCATTCCAGCACTCAAAATGGAGTCTTAGAGAAGAAAAAAAAAATAACAAAGCGCAACACTTAAAAGGACCTCATTCATTTTTGCCTTGGGCCACCTTTTGACGGGTCAGAATTTGATTACTTGTGTTGTGTTTCTGTCTGCTGTGAAAGAGGTAGATTCAAATTAAGAAAATACTGAATAGCTGCCTTGAATCTATCTTTATGTAGGATTTCAGCTTTATCAAATGGAATTGTATTATGTATGAGATTATCTATTATCTAGTTACCTTAGTTGAACTGGCAAGGTAGAAATCAATGACTGACAGCTGGTGTACGCTTGACACAAACAACACATTAAGAGTGCAGAATGATACCCTGTGACAGTCACAGAGAAAATCAATGTGTTCAGTTCTTGGTGGCCTAATCAAAACCTTGTGAGTGATATTTCTATGATATTTTATTAAGGGTACTTTGCTAATATGCTTATCATTATAGATGATGACAGTAAGAAACAAATGGAAGTATTTAAATGGGTAGGCTCGGCTAATTACAAGGATTTTGGTTGTCACTGCCCCACTGGAAATTGTACTGCCTGCTCAAGCATTGACAATGTGTCTGTCTGCCATTGGACACACAATGATGTTCAGAGGCAGAGAATATAAATGCTAATTCTAATGTACATTATGTTCTCGAGGATTAAGATGTGGCCCACTGACTGATTTTGGTGCCCTGAGGATTTGTATGACAATATAAACTTCATAAAACTCCAAGAGGAGAAATAATCCTTGTTAACTCGACACACTGAAGAGAAGAGGGTGCCAATTTTTAGCTGCAAACAGCAGCCTGCATGTCACCCTGTAAGCTGGCTGGTTTCCCAAATAATATAGGGGAAAAATGTTAAGTGCATATGACATTTTGGGATCAGTTAATAAAGCAAAGGTTTGTTGTGTTCGACCGGAGGTTGTAGTCCTGACTGAGTCATCGTATCACAAATGAAAAGGTTGTTATTTGAAGCAGAAGTTGACCCCACATTCAAAAATACATATTTTTTCTCTTACCCATAGTGCTATTCATCAGTCAAGATTATTTTGGTGTGAGCTGTCGAATGTTGGTGACATCGGCTGTAGAGATGTCTGCCTTCTCTTCAGTATAATGGATCTAGATGGCACTCAGCTTGTGGTGAGAAAAGTGCCAAAAAATCATTTAAAAAAAGTCAACAGCAATGTCTTTTTACAGATATCATGACCTGGTTTCTCAACATAATCAACAGATCTTGTTGTGAGCAGTTTCATGTCAGAACTGTTTTGTCTCTACTGAACCACACCCACCAATCATATCACAGCGCAGAAGGAAGCGCATGTATACTGCTCGCTCACCTAGCATCACTGAGCTAGCTAACGAAACAGCTCAGCCAAGGAGGATGCCATTTTAGTTTACCTCTTGTGCACCTTGTCCATGAGTGGATGCACGCCCCCTTCTTCCTACAAAGAGTCATTGCTGCTGAGTTTTTTAAATGTATTTTTTGGTCCTTTGAGTGCCATAAGCACAAGAGTGCCATCTAGTTCCATTATCTTAGAGGGCAGGCAGACATCTCTACGACTGATATCTAACTCACACCAAAACAATCTACCGAGCTGGCCACCAACACGGTTATGTTGCGTTTACACCAAGCGTGACTAAAACAATCGAATTACATTTAAAGTCAGTTTAAAGACACAATTTGACATGAATGGCACAATGGACTTGATGTGAATGATGTGAATTTCACAAATTAAATGGTAAATGGACTGCACTTACATAGCACCTTTCTAGTCATCTGACCACTCAAATTGCTTTTTACACCACGAGTCACATTCACCCATTCACACACACACATTCATACACTGGTGGCTGAGGCTACCATACAAGGTACCACCTGCCACTCAGTTTTTAATATACTTAGGCTTAGTCCACACGAGCACGGGTATTTTTAAAACCCAACTTTTTTGGCCTCCAGTTTTTAAAAAATCTGCATCCATACGAGCGGTGTAATAAAAATACCCCCGTCCACATGACACTGCAAATTCCACTATCAAATAATGTAATACACATGCCAAAGCAGTAGGTGGCGATATAACTCCTAACTGTAAGGCCATTTGAGCCAATCAGAAGGCAGTAAAATGTCATTACTGGAAAAACAACAACAAGCGTACTATTATGTAGCAGGAGCAGTCTTCGTAATAGCACACTCTTGCGCCTCTGTTGCTGGATGTGGTTGAGTAGCGTTAGTTGTATGATACAGCCACAAAGTGCTGATATGCTGCTAAATAGCAGCAGTATTTTGTTTAGGTCCATCCTCAAATCGTCTCTCGCTCACACTGGATCTGGTAATAACACAGCTTTTTTCTGTTTACGTCGCATTTTGTGACGTCATACAATGTAGATGAGACAAATAACTGCAGTTATCCTGTCCACACGATTGCTGACTCTGGACTTTTCCAAAAAGTTCACCCTGGACTCCGGTTACAAATAACTCCGGTTACAGGGGCCCAAAACTGCAGTTACGTGTGGATGAAAGGCCATACCGTGAGCAAAGAGTCACGGTTTTATAAATACCTGCGTTGGTGTGGACAGCCCCTTAAACAGCGATGGAACAGCCATCAGGAGCAACTGAATTCAGTATCTTCCAATTGGTGGACGACCTGTTCTACCCTCTGAATTTCATAAGCAGTGCGAATGAAGCGTATACCACGATTTCACGTGACATGCTTGTTCCTAAGAGTTGAAAAATCTGAACTTCAGGGACCACTTCACACAGCAGTTGTGTTGTTACAACACCATCTTGATGGAGAATGACAACATTTTGTTGTAAGCCATGGAGACCAAAACCCAGCATCTGCAAAACGTCATAATGTTAACACTACACCACATACTGACATTATTAGACATTTAAAATACCATCAACAATTTTCATTACAGCCAAATTGAACTTCTGTCCAACATGAGAGTCCAATGTCTCTTTGATGTCATTTTGACTTCCAGTACCAATAGGATTCATTGATAATTAGCATTACACTTAATAGAAATGAAATGTACTTTTAATTTTGAGGTCAACTGTATCCTTTAAGCTGTTACGGCACTGTAGAACAACTGGAATTTATTGACAAATAAATCTCCACATATGACATATGGTCTTCACATGAATCCTGCAGAACACTGTATTCCTATATTTTCTGACTTGTCCCTTTGAGCTTATCAAAAGAAATCATGATCGTGTGTGTTTTTGTGTGATACATTGATGCAACATGTGCTTTTGTCAAGGCCACTCTCAGACAAGTTGGGATTCTAGTTCATAGCTATGACAGCGCAGCCTTCCCTTTCTTCAAGACATTATTTATCAGGATGGGTTTTGTATTTCCAAGGCCACTGTCAAACAAATGGCACCTTTGCTCTGCTTCCTTTTTTTAACAGGCATGTTCTGCAGTCGCTAAAAGACTGCAGATTTTTCTCCTGTTCATCCCTGAAAAAGCCCATGTTTTCAATTCCTGTTGTTGTAACCTTTATGGGCCAACCAATGTCCTTCAAAGTACTGCTCTCGCTGATCCCAGTTAATTTTGAAAGATTACATTTAATTTCACATCCCTCTACAATTCACATCGCTGGCAGGCATGTGTTGCTACCTGGCAAAAGATTAATTAATTCCAGGTGCCTGGATTCCTGAGTGTTTGATTTAGGTTTACCTTCTGTTTTGTTTGACTTTTCAAGCGACACCGTAGGCTTAAAGGAAAAATCCACCTTCAGATACTCCTTAACCGTCAGATATCATCATCTTGTGATGCTCCAGCATGCTTCTTCACTGTAGCCACTTTACCTCCACCTGCCTCGTCTCCAGTACTTCGACTTAAATTAGTGACTTCCTTCATTTCCCAGGAGGACTTTTTACAACCCCCGGTGAATGGGGTGTGGGCTTGTTGCTTTCAATAAACGAGGGATGAATGGGCACATAAATAGCTTGAAAGTGTGATCATTCAACTGAGAGTCATGTATTTAGTTGGAGAGAGCAATAGCAATAGAGATAGAGGAATGTAATGACAAGGTATCTTCCAGCAGGCTTTGAGAGTGAGCCAGCACCAATTATGACTGGGTGTCTTTCCAGCATGATTCTAGCGTGCTGGCCTCCAACCAATCTGTGCACAAAATATAATGGAAATTTATATCACACACACACACGCCTCACACGCACACACTAGTTGACTTTGCTTTGCGATTAACCAAAAACCATTGGAACACCCAGCAAAAGCTTCTTTCCTTCATTATCAAACCCACATTTTGCATAACTTCCATATTTTAATATTACAAAAATGTATCTCTAGAAAACCTTCTGTTCATGAATAGTACATAAAACCTACAGTATTTAATTTTAATTTAACCATGGGAGTGGGATCTGAGTCAGCATGTTACTTAAGAACGACTAAGCAGAATCCATTGGTAGTTGTTAAAGTAGAGAGACAGCACATTAAACCATGGATTTTCAGTCAGTCTGTCTTTCTATCTGTGTTATTCTTTTCAGGGTCATAGAGGCTTGGAGCCCATCCCAGCATGCACTGTGCAAAGGCAGA